TTCAGCTCCTTATCGAGGACATACTCCTTGTCCTCGTAGCGGGTAACCATTCGTATGTTGCGGATCCAATCATTAAAATTGTTTCCGTCGAAGATTACCCTGCCACACAAATTCATGAGTGAGAACGAGCCGGAAGAGTTCGAGCCTTGAGCGTTTTTCGAATTCGACATCTGAAAAGGAAAAGAGACAAAGTTTGATTAGATAAGAATCCCCAATTAAACACCCAAATGAGAAATTAGGGCTAGGATCCAACAACATTATTTACAAATTAAAACAGGGATGCCGTAATTTAAATTGCAAATAATTTGAAGGTAAGTGAATGACGATTCACTAATTTCTACCATGAAAAACGAAAAAGATTAAGTTTTAAATGTATTGAAACTCCTAAATCTGTTGAGATTCATTGAATTTTTCAATGGCATGTTTAAATCTCGGTATGCCCTTCAAGTTTGTGACTGGGATACCGAGGATCACAAACAAGGAGTGAATAACCATGCGAATGTACTTGGTGCCCTCAATGTTACAGTCACCTAATCAATGTGCCGGTTAGCCGCACACGCTCCATTGATCTATGACAAACAACGAGTCACCCTTTTCCACCTTTGCTTAGAGCCAAATTAGTGTGCCGGTTAACCAAACACGCTCCACTAACGTCTTAGTAAGGGTACAAAGTGTAATTCCATGAAATAGCATCAAATTCACATTTTTCTTAAAGTAACTATGATTGGGAATTTTATAAAAACATTTAGTTACTTTATTAATCATTACACTTTTAATGAGGAATTAGGTTGCCCTATCGTACCCGTTCGGCTAACGACCCTCCACCAATCAAGGAAGCGGTGGGTGAGAGTGGACACCCATTAAACGACCATTTTATAAGCCATCACCTGTACCCCCCTTATAGATCGTCTTCGTGAATGATGCCTACTAACGGTAAGACTAGCATTGATCTTATACATATATATATATTAATTATTCTTATAATATTATAATAGTATAGGGTTGAATTTTAAACTTGTAAAATTCTAAGGTTTGGAATTTAATTATTTCAAAATTAAACTTTGAATTAAAAATTTAAATTCCAAAACTTGAGGGCAAGTTTTGAAACATTTCAAAAGTATTTAGATCAAAATTCAAATAAACAATTAAACAATTAATTTGGTGATTATCTAATTTTGACCTAGTCCAATTTTGATGCAAGATAATTGATCAAATAATTCAAATAATTAATATTTATCAAATAAGGTAATAATTATCTAATTAAATGACCAAAAATCTTTTATTTTGACAAAGATAATCATATACAATCAATAAAATTCGGATTTTATTAATTAGAAAAACTTATGGTAATTATCTCAAGTCAAAATAAACAAAATCCTAAAATTCCCTCTATCTGACTGCCCGACTCGCTGAGTCCCTTACTGGACTCGTCGAGTTCATCCGACTCGACGAGTCTGTCAGGCAGAAGGCCAAAAATCGAATTCAAGCAAAGAGTAATTACATCCACTACTACAGAAAGCATTTGTTGATGCGGTTAAAATAATTAATTAGTGCGGTTATGGAACCGCACCAAAAAATATCGCATTAGAAAATACCCTTATTTGATGATGCGGTTACAAAACCGCACCAATAAATAACCAAAACCGCACCAAAAAACAATATTGGAATAATACAAATCGCACCAAAAAACAATAAAAACCGCTCCAAATAAAGAAGCAATACCAAAAAAAAAGCCTCCCACATTCGCACCAAAAAATATATTTTGTTCTGGTGCATAAACTTCCGATCAATGGTGCTCGTTGCAGGTCCATTTGGATGGTGGGAGGGAAAATCCATCCTCCTTGAAGCTATCAGAACAGGTCCATTTGCAGGTCCATCTAGAAGAGATCAAACACCCACCGAAACCACCATTATTTCCGACACATGTTCGCTGTCGAGAACACAACAATCACCAAGGCACCATTTTTCCACCATTAACCACCGTACAACATCTTTAAATCAACCACTTTAACAACCGAGCTCACAAACAATAAACCACCACCAGTTCACACCATCACTATCTGCCTTACCTTAGCCGGAAATCACCCCTTACCATCTTCACTTCCTGAAAACAACTCCTACATCTTCACGAGTCTGCTTCACCTCCGGTTCACTATCTCGCCACCTCCGACCACCTACCATCTTCACCACTAACCACCGAGAACACCGCCCGTAGAGCACCTACCTTTTGCTGAGAACCATCCATGCGTCATCATCTCCTACATACTTCCGATTCACCACCATTATTCCACCTTACACAACCCGATGCCACCAAACATAAATCAGAAAAAGAAAAGGAAGAAGAAAAGAAATTGGTTTATCTACATACCTACCATCTCCACCACTAACCACCGAGAACACCGACCACAACCCCTGCCTTTGCCGAGAACCATCCAAGCACCACCATCTCCTACATATTTCTGATCCGCCACCCTTGTTCCATCTTAAACAACTTGACACCACCGATCGAACGTGAAGCAGAAAAAGAAAAAAAGGAAGAAAAACAGAACTGTTTCGTATGTGTTTTGTTTTGTTTGCAAAGGGGGAAAAACACTCACATAATAAGTAGGGTACTGGACTACTGGTGCTTTTATGATGGGATCCCCATTCTTTAATGATGCGTTTATTAGATTGAAGAGTAGGAGGGAAATGAAAATTTTGGTTTGTAAGAAAATCAAAAGTTTGAGGGAAATGAAAAATTAGAATGAAATTTTAGAGGGAAAGATTAAACAAATGGTGCGGTTACCCTATATTTTTTGAGGCGGTTTTTATCTATTAAATGTGTTTAATAGTGCGGTTTCAAGCTAACGCATCAAATAATGCATTTTAATGTCTTTTAATGCGGATATAAGAAAACCGCTCCAACAAATGATTTAAATGATGCGGTTTCTTAGTTTATTAATGCGAAAGTGTTTTAATGGTGCGATTTTAGGCTCTCACCGCACCAAAAAAGAAAAAGCCATCGCACTATTAAATACGTTCTGTACTAGTGATCATGCATCAAATACAATAGAAACCAAGCAAAGCTCTGATACCACTGATGAGTTTTGAGCAAAAGAACATCCTATGTGTACATGCAAAACCCTAAAGCTTTGGATCTAGGTTTCTCTATTGTACATGCAAGTTTATCCAAAGCTTGTAAACCCTAATCTAGCATACTATGAAAATTGAGATCTATAATAAAAACAAGTTTAGATGATACCTTTCAATAGTTGCAAGAATCTTCAATCTTCAAAAAGCTTAGTATCACAAGTGTAATACCTCTAATGGCTTACAAACACCAAGGCAAGAAGATGATTGAGAAGAGAGGAGGAGGAGGCACAATTTCGGCTATAGTAACTCTAGGGTTTCTTCTGGTAGCCGAAAACTGTAGCCCTGGGGTCCCTTAAATAGCTAAGCAGCTAGGGTTTCAGTCAAAACCCTAATTGGATGACTTAGGCCCTAAGCAACTCCAAGAACCTTTTTGGGATAAGGCCCCTTGGACGAAATTAGTGTGGGCTTCCACTCTAAATTTCGTCCCCCTTATTTCCATAAGGATTCACAGCCCAAATTCAGTTATCTTATAATTGACAGTTCCAGTCCCCTTTAATTAATTAATCTCTTTTAGTCACAAAATTAATTCTTGACTAATATTAATTAAACTATATAATTTCTCCTTTAATATATTATTCATATAATATATTAATAAACCATAATAACCTCTCTCTCTCTCTCTCTCTCTCTCTCTCTCTCTCTCTCTCCCTCCATAAATCATCCTATCCAGTTGTTTTGCTGAAGGCAACCCAAAAGGACCATGCACAACCCGGTCAAGTACATACAAAATATAGTTACGAGCTTAGACACTAATCCAACACATGCTACCCTAAACCCTAACTGTCGATCGTGCAATCTTTTCTTCTTTTTATCGTATGATCTATTCTTCTGTTTCTCTACTCCATCTTTGAAAATGCCAGGAGAAGAAGGTCCCTTAACAACAGCCCCTCATAAAGCTTATGGCATAACCAATATCAAAACATAAGTACCCCTCATTCTCGATATTCCTATACACAACAATAAGCCATGGAGATTGATATTCATTTTGTCTGTGATCTGGTTGCTCGGGACGTTGTTCGTGGGCTCCATGTTCCATCCTCCGCTCAGTATCCTGACATCTTTACGAAAGGAATTTCGACGCAACTATTCAACGACTTCAAGACCAGTTTGAACATTTAGAATTCTCCTTCTTATCAAACTGGGGGGAGGGGGATGTTAGCGAATACTTATTGTGTGTTATACTTAGTTGTTAGCGAATACTAATTGTGTGTTATAGTTAGCTGTATTATTGTCCATTACTTAACTCATTTTATTTTGTATTTGGCATAAAAGGGCTTGTAATGTATTTATACGCTCATTCAATACTATGTACATTATGGGAAAATAACATTTATCAAAAATAGCCGACGAGTGAAGGCTGTAGAAGAAAAGGACGACACCGGCGACAACGTGAAGGCAGTGTTGGTCGTCGGAAACTTGATACGACGGTAACAGAGGGTGGCCGACAAGATGTGGGCCGGTCACTGAGATGGTCGACGGTAGGCTAGGGCTGTCCAAAAAAAACACTTTGTTTGATACAATGTTAATTATGTGAAAATACCTGTTAAGATTTATTGTTACAATTTATGTATTATTCCATTGCAATATATAAATATTATAATATAATATTTACAGTAACCCAACACTATATTAAAATTTAAAATACATCTAATATTATTTAACGCAGTTATATAAAAGTAAAGATACAATTTCAAGTTTTAGCTATAAACTACCATGTTCCAGCTATAATAGGAAAGATGATGGGTTCAAAGTATTAATATTTGATTTCTGAACGTATTTTTTGGATTTTAAAATTCTAATTTTTTTTCTAAAATTGATAAATATATATAAAAAGGAATGGATGACGATGAGTTCTTACACAAACTGACCGATAAATTTGGACCAACCTCCAAACACTTCGTGCGGTCGTTCGACAAACATGCATCTATCCATTTCCTCTCCCTCCTATATAACAATATATCCTCCTTCATTTCACTCTACGTTCATCAAATCATTGAAATAGACAAGGGAAGTAAGATAGCATATCTCATAGCAACGTATTCAACGAAATGTCTTCAACAAAAGTAACAGGAATAGGAATGATGATTCGCAGGCATAATCTCCTTTACGCCTCAAGACCTGCTCTCTTCGCCAATGGTCAGTTAGGCGGCGGTTTCGCCTCCTTCTCCGACTCTGATTCTCGCCCTGAGGTACCCACACAATTGCAGTTCATCAATTTTTCTTTTATATATAAAGATCTGGACTTTGTTCTTGCACATACGTGAAATTCAGATTTTGATAATTATACTAAAACTGGAAATGATCTTTTGCAGGATGAAGGTAATGCACTGGCAGATAGGGCAAATCAAACAATGGGGAAGATGATGGGTGCAGCTAAAGACACCAGTGAGAACGTTAAAGATCGAGTCACCGGAACTAACACCAGCCACCCAAGTAAGGACCCAGAGCTTAATCATGGCGTTGAGAAGACCGATAATAGCTGTGAAGACGTGAGGGATCGACCCGGTGGATACAGCTGAACCATCGGAATCAATGGAGTTGGCTCGACTTTCGTTTCATCAAAAGGATTCATCGGAATCAATGGAGTTTGCTCACTTTTCCTTGAATAAAATAGCATTGTATGTGTTATTATTTTGTCTTCTATATATAGTTCTTGTAAATAAAATGAAATACGGTTGCTGTTATTATTATATACTTCTCTTCTTTCTCTTGTGTTGTATATTTTAGGTCATATGCTTGAAAACATAATTAATGTCAATAATTGGAAAAATCCTTATATATCTGAAAATTTTGTGCTTATAAAGTTTACTATTAAACATTTACTATGTTTTTTCTTTACGAATGTATACAATATGTTGCATTTTAAATAAGGTTTATAATGATATATTGCGTTTTTTAGGTTAAAACAATTTATTACCAGTGTTTCTCCTATTAGTTTAAATAATAGAAAGATTGTAATAGTTACAAATTTAATATAGATTTTGTTTCAACAAATTATTTGAGGTTCTTAGTCATATTTTCATGCATAAGATTTTGGTTGAATCGGTAGCTTCGATATAAACGTCTTGAAATTAAAAAGAGCAAATAACTAAATTCATCAAACAGGATTTAGTTATTTACTATAAGTTTTCTTTTTCCTTCAAATAAAAAATAGAGTTAAATCGTAAATCTACACGAATTTATCGGAAATATTCTAATTTTTAAAGGAAAAGTAGATAGTAAATCTTTATTTATTTTCTAACTTTTTAGTTGGGGAATCCTATGAAGGCTTTTAGGTATAAAAAATCATTGCTTAAATCTTTACTTTTTTACTGGACGAATGTTAAAATGTAACAGCATTCCGATAAAATCCAAAAAATTTATTATATATGTGAAACAAGTCAAAACTTTCAGGTTTGCAGGTACTTATCTTTTTTAGTTCTGATTGAGAATATCCACATATATTTAGTTTTTCCACGTGGCTTCCATAGATAAGGATAATATTATATTTATTAATGAATGTCCATTTATAATAGGTTTGCTTATCCTTACACTGAGAAATCCTAGGTCTTCGTGCTGGAAGTTATAACATTATTGATAATTTTAGTTGAATTTTGATAGTAACTAGGAAAAAGGCGGGTACGTTGTACAGGTGAAAGTTTAGTGGCAAAAATATAAATAAGTAAAAATAAAGTGCCAAAATTATAAAGAAGAAAAGTTTGTTGAAACTTTAGTGGCAAAATTAATAAAAATAAAGTACCAAAACTATAAAGAGGAAGAGTTTATTGAAACTTTAGTGACACAATTATAAAAAAGTAAAAATAAAGTGGTAAAATTATAAAAGAATAAAGAAAAAGCGTTTTAAAGAAGTAAAAGTGAATATTTATTGGCAAAAATATAAAAAAATAAAAATAAAGGGGCAAAATTAAAAAAAAAAAAATTTGTTAAAACTTTAGTGGTAAAATTAAGAAAAAATAAAAATATAGTGTTAAAATTATAAACATGAAAATGGTAATAATAAAAGTATATAGATTGAGCTTATAAGAAAAATATATTACATTTTTTCTTGCGGGTAAATTGGTGTAGACCCCAAATCAATGCTAGTCAAATCAAGAGATATTTTAATTGCAAAAATATTTCAAAAACGAATCTAAACCGAAAATCTAACAATCGGATTAAAGAAACAACATTTCTATTTTACTTGATATGGCTCGTTTTAATGGTTTATAATTGACGGAGCTATATATCCATTCGAACCTCATTTCTACACAATGTTCTAAAAACCGGTTTGAACTGCCCGGTCGAACCGGTTGGACCGGGAACCGTGGGAGGGAGCGGTTCAACTATCACCGGTTTTACGTCGATTTCTGAACCGGATTGAACCGACTGGTTTTAGAAAAATCCGGTTGAACCGGTTAAAATAAACCAGTTAAACCGAATAAAAACATCTGAAAAAGAACCATTGGCATAATAAACTTTGATGATTTTTTTTTCAAATTTATTTTGTTTTCTCTAAATAAAAACATATGGTGTATGTTATAAAGTTTTTTGATGTGCTCACTATTCATCTAAAACTATACTTTGTTTCGGTATTATACTTTATTTTCTTTTTGATATATATGGATTGATGTAAATACTAAAACTTCTGGTTATGTCTTATTTTAGTGTATTTTGATTGATTTACAACTTAATTTGATGTATATTTTTAATGTTTGAACTTGTAAACGTCAAATCATGATTTATATATGTATGTATGTGTAGGAAAATAGAAAAAAAAAATGAAAATTATAGAAACCGGTCAAACCGGTTGAACCGGGAATCGAGCACCGTACCGGTTCAACTAAAAAACCGGTTTTTAAAACATTGTTTCTACATCTATAGGAGTTTAGACCTAACTCATAGTTCTTTTTCGGTTTAGAACATAAGGCAACTGATGTTGAATATCAAAACCAATAGACACGTAAGGAAATCAACAATATATTAAAAATTATATGTCGATTAGTTGTGAATAATAAATCCAATTATTATTAATATAATTACGAAGTTTCGTCCAGAAAGCAGATCAATCCTTCTCGATTAGATCTGATTATAAGAAAAGTAGAAGAGTGTCATGTAATTGGACGAAAGTAAACGCAAGACAATAATGTAAAACCGACCTGTTGACGGCTGATTAGAGAACTACACGGATCAAACTCCTGTCCTTAAAGGTTTTTACTTTGCTTTTACTTGCTGTAAGCAACAGAGTAAAATCCCGGGATTTAATGCAGACTTATCGGTTTTCCAACAGCAATGGAAAACAATGAACGCAAAGTGAATCCTCACAAAGTGGAAGAAATCGCCAAGTGTGAGATAGAAAGATCTGTTAATTTTCGAACAGAAAATACAGCTCCTAGAGAGCTGTATTTATAGGTTTTGAAGCCCTAGAAGGTAGCAAAAAACCCTCATGGGCCGACCCCTAGAAACCCTAGGGTAATGCCTTGCTCTCCAAGCAATCCATTTTCTGAGCCTTTTAGAATATTCCGAACAAACCAGATTCGGGCAGACTCGACCGATTCCAAAACTGCTAAAAATAAAAGCTCCTCAGCTCCCAGCGACCGATCCGTTGTGCGAAGTGCCAAGTGCCATTTTGTGCGCTCGTGACGTCGGCTAATGCTAGGCTAGGCGGGTGCGTATATGGGCTTGACCCATCCCTTGATCCACTAAGAGCCTTTGAAGGTCTATCAAGAGAAAAAAACATTATAAACCCACTAAAGGTTTCTTAGCCCACCAATATCGGATAAAGGAAAGTAGCCAACTTGCTATTATGCCTTCATAATTTCCAAAAAATTATTATTTACTATGATTAAAACAATTCATTCGGTCCAAATAAAAAAAGGTCGTTATATATATATATATATATATATATATATATATATATATATATATATATATATATATATATACACACACAAATTCCAAAGAGAAATCATGTTCATTTAATACTTTTACATCTAAGATTAGGGGTAAAAATAGATATTTTTTTTTTGGAAACGGTGATTTTATAAAACAAACAAACAAATAAATAAACAATGCCCACGCTTAGGAGAAAAAAGGCAAGGAAAGAAACAAACAAGCAACCAGTTACAAGTTTTTAAACAGATAGCAAAGCCAATCAGTCTAATTACAAGTACCCAGACTACCTTATAATTCTCCCAATTAAACACACTTTTATAATGCAATTCACCGTCTTGGTAGGGGGCTGGACCTCTTGTTGAAAATCTTGTTATTTCCCGCCTTCCACACACACCAAAGGGTACCATAGATGATGGAAAAAGAAAAAGTTTTTTTTTTCAGGGCAACGGCCCCAAGTGACTGCAAAGGTGATGATTTTCGAAACCGAGTTGCAAGGCTGATAGGATGTGTTGCACCATTTAAAAATCTAGGTAAGAATCTTCTGGATGTAGGGGCAAAAGGCAAGAAGATGGTCTGTTGAGTCTACACCATTAGGGCGAAGGACACAGGAGCTCAATGTCATGTTTACACCTCGACAAATAAGGGCTATAGCGGAAGGTATATGATCCATACAAGACCTCTAAAAAAATTTGACTTTTAAAGGGACCAACTTCAGCCAAATAGTGGGATTGCTCGTGATACTAGTAAGTTTGGAATCAATGAGATGTTTGGCCTTATAGACCTGGAAGTGACTATCAGCATTGAAACATCCCAAAAGATACAAAGTAAAATTTTGATTTTTAAATCAACCAAAACATCCATTCATTCATTCATTACTTCCAAAAGGATAATCAGAGTAATAAGTATTCTCAAAACAACAATGTTAATCATAAAGACTGTATGGAAGAAAATTTATGGGGGATGCAGTGCGATCACACCGAGCCCTTCCCTCTGAAACTAGAAGTACCTTAAACAACCACAACATAAAGTCGTAAACACAAAGCTTAGTAAGTTCCTAAAAATACCACATACCATACATAAAATAGTGAATACTATGGGCCAAATCATAGTCTTACAATCACTTCATTCCATGCGCCAAATCATCGTATTTTCTTGCCAATGTCATGGATCAAATCCTAGTTTTACGTGTATTGTCAGGCGCTGGATCCCAGTCTTTTATACAATTACCAGGGGTCGGTTCCCAGACTTACATACATACGCCAAGGGCAAGATCTTGGTCTTACAAATATATGGCAGGGGCTGGATCTTGTTCCTCTATGCAAGCATCACAGAGACAACTACCATACAACATATATATTACATACAATTGCTATGGATAAGATCCTGGAATTTCATACATATATCAGGGGCCACATCCTGGACTTCCATGCAAGTCATAAAGATAAACAAGTGTTGTGATCCAACCACAGTCGATGTGATCCAACCATAGTCTTAAACACACGTGTTGTGATCCAACCATAATCTTTCATGCACGGGTAACAAAGACCATCTAACAACCTACCTAATATAGTGAGAAGACACACCTGATTCTAGCAAGCTGAATCCTAATAACACTACTGTCATGAGCTAGATGGATTACTTCCTTACCACACACTTACTTCCCATACCAATAAATATATTTAGATTATTTCATGATAGTATGTATCTTATATTTTATTTTTACTTTTATACAAATATTAGGGTATGCCTGTTTCCGAATACCATCTTAGGTTCCGCACCAAGTTCAAACCAAGCACACACAAAACTCTAAACTAACGATTACTTCTTGTTTAAAGCACTTGTAATCAACCAAACTTCTA